ATAATATCAAACTGCTCTGTGCCATTCAGAAGATAGAACTCATTTCATGATCTTAACATATGGTAATTACAAACCTTCTTTCAATAACGTTTTCATCTACTTATTAGTTCAATTAAACATTTACAAGCGGCTTTAGTTTATTTTCTTCTGTGCACTTATCGTGCATTAACTGTGCATTAATCAAGCACTAAACTTTTAATCACGAATCTTCTAAGACACTTGGGCTGGGGGACTTTTGCCACGGGACGGCGCTACGATGAACCCTACCGATACTACTTCCAGTGTATGCATGCAACTAGGCAGTAATCACAATACTTGTTTTCCGTTAACTTTCTGCTTAACCCTCCACCCCTTATCTCTGTTTTGTATCTACTTTTAGGCCTATCTTGGGGATGACCAACAGACGTCACTTCCGAAACATTCAACCATTCACCGTCTAACATTATCTTTATTTTTATCCCAACAAAGATACAATTTTCTTTGCTAAACCTCCAATAGCCTACTCAGGACGCATTTAAAAAATGCTTCTGTGAACGTTCCGGTCATTTATTTGTGTCCTTTGTGGTCTGACTGTTTATTCCATTCGGTTTTGTCTTAAAAATACTAATGCTATTTTGCCTTTTTTTACTCTTTCTAGCTGGACATATTAGTTTGTCGCGCAAAGTCCACGGCAATAGCGGGTTCTAAAACGACAGGTCGGAGGGGACGACATAGCTTGCTGACAGCCAGTGGTCGTTGGCGGTGCGTGACTAGCGGGAGTCAGGGCCGCTTGAAAGCCACTCAGTGTGTACCGGTGAACCGCCATTGACGGACACATTGAGACCATATTCACGTACAACTGCCGACCCGTGAATAAAAATAGGCTGACTCAGGCCGACATGAACTCCTTGTACCTTATGAAGAGGGCATGGCAACAGCACTCTGATTATAGGTCGCTTGTCGGTGTGAGTCAACTCTGTGTGGTCAGGCCTCCCCTCAAAGATGTATGGGGAATGGTTTAGGAAATGACGGCGAGTGGGTTAGTTGAATGAGTTTGGAAGGGTGTGAAGTGACGAGAGATATAATAAGAACAATGAAAGTGGAGGAGCAGGGAGAAGCGGACCATGGAGGCGTATCCACGACGGCTGTCTGCACTGACAACTTAAGTTCTATCATTTTAGGCTCGATAATTTTTGGCTCTTGTGCAAAAATGTGGATATCGCCGATTTCAGTTGTCTGCACATTTAGGCAGGCCATGCTGGAGCGCAGCTCCCCATATATTTTTACGACAGGATTTAGCGATCTGTGCGAGAAACACGTGGATAAAGTTCGTAGGCATTTACACAGTCGTTGCATAAGATTGGTTGGATCCAAAGTGGCAAAGTAGCGTTTGCGCTTAGATCAGGCCAAGTCCCGGATTGTACGTAAAAGCGAGAACGCGCACGTAGGAGAGACTCATTATGTACGGTAGCCTGTCTTGTTGACTCGGGAAGAGCATTTTGATCAGAGATTAAAACTTTTTGATTATCCGGGAAACCGTAAACCCAGAAACACTATTTTTCCCATATGGCAAACCGTTCAGGTTAGACGGTCTGAACGGTGGTTTGCAATTGGTTATTGTTTTTTTTATGTTTATGTACCGTTCATAAATGAAATAAATGTATAAAATCGTTTTACTTTGATAACTTCAGCCCGAAATCAATAATAATCCGTAGGCGAACGCGGATAATGCGATGCAAGAGCTGACAAGCATTTCACTGGAAATACGACTGAAGGTAAATTGTATGTTAACTTTAGATGCTTGAGTAGAGCGTGCCTTATAACCAGCACAATATCGGTTGGCTAAAGACACGCGCGATTCTGCACGCAAGCGGGGCATGGGCGCGAATGACCAAGTGTGTCGCATGCGAGGACCGATCAGCGTCATCGTAGTAGGTTTATGAAGCGGTTTTAGGCTTTGTCCTTAGAGCTGAATGAACACGTGGTCCGTTATCACACGATATCTAGCGTGGCGTATATGCCAGGGCAATAAAG